AAAGAGGCGGGGGAAACCACACAAACACCACCACCTACCACGGAATGCCAAGAAGCTACAGAAACACCGTATGTGTTAATAGGCATACATCTGTGACCCACTGATGGAAGGCACATTTTTCCCAATACCACACACAGACATATACTACGAGTTAAATGTATATCAAGCTGGAGGAGAAAGAGAAATAGAACAAACATTTGTTTATACTTTTCTGCTTTGTTAACAAGTAACTGCTACAGGGGCTGGGAAGGTGGCTCAGTGGTAGAGCGCTTGCCTTGCATGCTCGAGGCCCTGGGTTCGATTCCTCAGCACCACATAAGCAAAAAGAAAAAAGCCAGAAGTGGCGCTGTGGCTCAAGTGGTAGAGCGCTAGCCTTGAACTGAAGAGCTGAGGGACAGCGCCCAGGCCCAGAGTTCAGACCCCACGACCGGACCCAAAAAAAAAAAAAACAAGTAACTGCTACACATATACCATGTGTGCTTGGGGGACAGCAATGTGCAGGCAGATGAGACCCCACTTCTGAGAGCACAAAGCCAAGGACACCATTTCAGAGGGTCCATTAGCATCCTTACTATCTCAGCCACACCACTGAAGACTCAGTCAGCCAACGGCAGACAGCTCCTTCGAACTTCCAGTCTCAGGTTAGCCCCTGCCCCACCCTTCCATGCCCAGCCCAGATGAGGCGGCTCCCAGGGCCCCCCTGCCCCCAGACCTTCCATGACCACCCCAGGAGAGAAGCTGCCTCTCCTCCCTGAGCCACGGTGAGACTCACACTCTGGGTGTGTTCTGTTCACTCTGGCATGCGCCAGAGAGTCTACAGCTACTGAATGAATGCTGTATGATTGTCTGTGTGAATGGGATGAAGTAATGGCTCTGAAAGCTGCTGTGGGTACATCTGGACCACTACACACAACACACTAGGCCAGAACGGGGGCGCATGGGGTGCTCCGGTTCTCACACTCCCCAATTCTCACAGCACCAGCCTTCACCACACACTTCAGAGCAAGAGCTGCAAGCTCATTCCTATATCCCTCCAATTCAGAGCAAATGTATGCAAGAGGATGGCTGGATAGCAGGACAGCAGGAGAACCCTATAAGGCACCCATAATGGGCTGGAAAGGTGCTCAGTGGTAGAGCACTTGCCTCGCATGCCTGAGACCCTGGGTTTGATGCCTCAGCACCACATAAACAGAAAAAGCCAGAAGTAGCGCTGTGGCTCAAGCACTAGAGCACTAACCTTGAACCAAAGAGCTCAGGGACAGCACCCAGGCCTAGAGTTCAAGCCCCACGACTGACAAAAAAAAAAAAACACCCACAAGGTGCCCTGGAATAGCACGGAGTCCCTTCCGCAGGAGGCAGGTACACAGGATAGCACCCAGGATAGACAGGTCAGACGGCAGGGACACAGGATAGACAGGTCGACGGCAGGGACACAGGATAGACAGGTCGGATGGCAGGGACACAGGATAGACAGGTCGGACGGCAGGGACACAGGATAGAAAGGTCGGATGGCAGGGACACAGGATAGACAGGTCATTCGGCACACCAACCACATTCCCAGAGATCAGACAGCCCAAGCACTCCCTGTGGGAGGAGCCAGGGTTCCCTTTGGCCACACAGTGCCCCAGCATACCAAAGAGTTTGGAGCGCGTCCTATCAGATCCAAGCTGCCCAGCACCTCTTCCCACACCACATCCTCCATCAGCCTTGCTATCATGTGGAAGGTTATTTTACTTTGGAAAATTCTAGACAGGTGGTAGGCCCTGAAACACCTTTAGAGCTAGTTCCAAACCATCTAGGTACTACTGCTGCCTACTGTGGCTGTCACCCATGCCAATCTATAACTCTTCAGGCCCATCTGGTCCCTGTTCAGCCAAAGAAGGTGTACTATCCCTTCCAGGGACTGCAAGGTCAGGAGGGACACAGGTCCCTAGCTTTTGTGGTGTCTACATCCACACACAGACTCACTCTATGGCACTAAACCCACGACTGCCAAAGGACCAGTAGCTAATGAAGCAAAATCCATGTCCCCCAGGTCCTGGCCATCATTTCCAGATCAACTAGACCCTCCTCTGAAAGAGTCCTTCCCTGTTTCTCGCCACCTGAGACCCTCTTCAACAGGGCTCTCCCTCATCACTCCCACCCTGAGAGACAGGAATACCCGCTATCATTCACCACCTGACACCTCCCAGACCTCCAGCCTCCCACGTGGCCCAATCTCACCCCTGCCCCACCAAACTTTCCTTCCACTGCTCCCCAGAGATCTGCCTCCATTCCCCATCTCAGAACCAAACATACTAAGGAAAGGTTCATGAATGCTGGATGGTTAGTGAAGAACCCCATCTCCAAATGACAGGGCAGATACATCTATCTTCTGTCATCACCTGAGATGTGAGGATTTGGCACACAGAACCAAGGCTACTCCCCGAGGTCCAGCATGGTCTGGGGCCTACAGATGGCCCTGAGTCCTACCCAGCCTGCACCACGAACAAACTGAGAGACCACAGGTGTGAGCGTCTGTGTTCACCCTGTCCTTCTGCCCTCCCCACTAAGACTGAGCCCCTGCTGAGGCCCACTCCTGTCCACACCCATGGAGCAAAGCTGGGGGTAGAGGTGGGCCAGGGGCTGTTTAACCTTCTAGTGCTTTCCAGCATGAATCACAAATAGGACATGCCTGCATCTATCGACAGGCACAGCCTTCTCATCCTCAAGATTTTCACAAATTCCCTCCCGAGATGATTACTATCACCCATCCGGGACAACCTCAGGACCATGCGAATCCCATCTCCCCAAAAGAACATATACTGAGAGAATGTAGAGCCCACCAGCTGTCTCTTCAAAGTGACACCCACCAACATCCCACTAGACCCACCAACATCCCACTAGACCCACCAAAGTTCCACTAGGTACACCAATGTCCCACTAGACCCACCAAAGTTCCACTAGGTACACCAATTTTCCACTAGACCCACCAAAGTTCCACTAGGTACACCAATGTCCCACTAGACCCACCAAAGTTCCACTAGACCCACCAAAGTTCCACTAGGTACACCAATGTTCCACTAGACCCACCAAAGTTCCACTAGGTACACCAATGTGCCACTAGACCCACCAAAGTTCCACTAGGTACACCAATGTCCCACTAGACCCACCAAAGTTCCACTAGGTACACCAATGTTCCACTAGACCCACCAAAGTTCCACTAGGTACACCAATGTCCCACTAGACCCACCAATGTCCCACTAGACCCACCAAAGTTCCACTAGGTACACCAATGTCCCACTAGACCCACCAAAGTTCTACTAGATCCACCAAAGTTCCACTAGGCACACCAATGTCCCACTAGACCCACCAAAGTTCCACTAGGCACACCAATGTCCCACTAGACCCACCAAAGTTCCACTAGGCACACCAATGTCCCACTAGGTACACCAATGTCCCACTAGACCCCCCGAAGTTCTACTAGGTACACCAATGTCCCACTAGACCCACCAAAGTTCCACTAGATCCACCAAAGTTCCACTAGGTACACCAATGTCCCACTAGACCCACCAAAGTTCCACTAGGTACACCAATGTCCCACTAGACCCACCAAAGTTCCACTAGGTACACCAATGTCCCACTAGACCCACCAAAGTTACACTAGGTACACCAATGTCCCAATAGACCCACCAAAATTCCACTAGGTACACCAATGTCCCACTAGACCCACCGAAGTTCCACTAGACCCACCAAAGTTCCACTAGATACATTAATATTCTACTAGACCCCTCAGTGTCCCACTGTGAAAGCAGGAAAGGACTGGGAGTAGGAATGCCTTCTCCCAATACACTCTGAGAACACAGTTTTCCTGGAAAGGTCAATCAGTCCTGGCTTAAGGGAACTCAGATTCTACCCTAAACTGTTCAGGAACCTAAGGGTAGACCTAGGTTTACGCAAATTGAAGGCTCTCTACTGTTTAACCCTCCTTCCCCAAATAAAAAGGTCACCTACCACTTGTATGCAAAATATCATCACATGCATTACATGTTGAAGTTTGTACCTTACTTCCTTGCACAAGACCAATAAAAACTTTGATTAATGGGACCTCAGGATCTGTTGCCAGTGGAAGGCTACAGGTCCCCTGGTACCCAAAATCTCAGTTGCATGATCCAGTCTCCCATTATTGCATTGTTCCAGGTCACAGAGGATTAAGGAGCTCATGGAGGACTTCAACATCCCATTAAACCAACAATGTTCCACTAGAACACCAATGTCCCACTAAACCACCAATGTTCAATGTTCCACTAGTTACCAATGTCCCACTAAACCACCAATGTTCAATGTTCCACTAAATTACCAATGTTCTACTAGTACACCAATATCTCACTAAACCACCAATGTTCAATGTTCCACTAAATTACCAATGTTCCACTAAACCACCACTGTCCCACTAAACCACCAATGTCCCGCTAAACCACCAATGTCCAACTAAATCACCAATGTTCTACTAGAACACCAATGTTCCACTAGAATACCAATGTTCAATGTCGCACTAAACTACCAATGTTCGATGTCCCACTAGACCACCAATGTTCCACTAGAACACCAATGTCCCACTAGACCACCAATGTTCCACTAACCCACCAATGTCCCACTGGACCCACAGCACCAGTCTGGGCCTCTGCTCACACCTCAACTTGAAATTCTCCTGAGAAGCAATGGCTTCCTCCCATAATGATGCAGGTACTCAGCCTCAGAAAGTAGTACCCCCACCTGGGTTCTGGGTATCCTGGCTGGGAGACCATCATAGTGTGGAACATGACCTGAGGCGAACCAAGGCACAACATCCACTGCTTCTGAAGAAGATATGAAGCCAATCTAATCATGCTAGGATCTAGCCAGTGTCACCTACACTGCCCTCCATGTGGACCTGCTGTGATCTCCACATAGACACACAACTAAAGAAATACTCACCCCTGGGTGACTGTCCTGCACGACACACACACAGCAGCTCTTACCTGGTAGAACTCCCGGAGCCAGTTCTTCTGCAGGTTTTCCGGCTGTAAGTTAAGAAAAGAGAAAAGAGAGTAGTTAGAACAGATGGTGCTCCACACAGCCAAGCAAAAGGTTTGATGAAAGAACTCTGGAGATAAATACGAGTAGCTTGGCACCTACACAGGACACCCCAACCACATAGGGAAAGCTGTAACACAAATCCACATGGGGGCCGTACCTACCCATCCACACGGAGCCATACTCCCATCCACACGGGGACTGTACTCCATCCACACGGGGACTGTACTCCATCCACACGGGGACTGTACTCCATCCACACGGGGACTGTACTCCATCCACACGGGGACTGTACTCCCATCCACACGGGGACTGTTCTCCATCCACACGGGGACTGTACTCCATCCACACGGGGACTGTACTCCCATCCACACGGGGACTGTACTCCATCCACACGGGGACTGTACTCCATCCACACGGGGACTGTTCTCCATCCACACGGGGACTGTACTCCATCCACACGGGGACTGTACTCCCATCCACACGGGGACTGTACTCCATCCACACGGGGACTGTACTCCATCCACACGGGGACTGTACTCCCATCCACACGGGGACTGTTCTCCATCCACACGGGGACTGTACTCCATCCACACAGGGACTGTACTCCATCCACACGGGGACTGTACTCCATCCACACGGGGACTGTATTCCATCCACACGGGGACTGTTCTCCATCCACACGGGGACTGTTCTCCATCCACACGGGGACTGTACTCCATCCACACGGGGACTGTACTCCCATCCACACGGGGACTGTACTCCATCCACACGGGGACTGTACTCCATCCACACGGGGACTGTACTCCATCCACACGGGGACTGTACTCCAACCACACGGGGACTGTACTCTCCATCCCCACGGGGACTGTACTCCCATCCACACGGGGACTGTACTCCATCCACACGGGGACTGTACTCCATCCACATGGGGACTGTACTCCATCCACACGGGGACTGTACTCCCATCCACACGGGGACTGTACTCCATCCACACGGGGACTGTACTCCATCCACACGGGGACTGTACTCCATCTACAGGGGGACTGTACTCCATCCACACGGGGACTGTACTCCATCCACACGGGGACTGTACTCCCATCCACACGGGGACTGTACTCCCATCCACACGGGGACTGTTCTCCCATCCACACGGGGACTGTTCTCCCATCCACACGGGGACTGTACTCCATCCACACGGGGACTGTACTCCATCCACACGGGGACTGTTCTCCATCCACACGGGGACTGTACTCCATCCACACGGGGACTGTACTCCATCCACACGGGGACTGTTCTCCCATCCACACGGGGACTGTACTCCATCTACAGGGGGACTGTACTCCATCCACACGGGGACTGTACTCCATCCACACGGGGACTGTACTCCCATCCACACGGGGACTGTACTCCCATCCACACGGGGACTGTTCTCCCATCCACACGGGGACTGTTCTCCATCCACACGGGGACTGTTCTCCATCCCCATCAACAGTGGGGGCTGTACTCCACAAGAGGGAGCCCAGCTCCATCCAGAGGCTGCAGTCTGTGAGCTTCTCTGTGACATACTGCAATCCTCCCTGGACCAGTCAGGCACACACAGCAGCCCATGTTCCAGAGGACCCACAGTCCCACTCTCTCCTCCACTTGGGTCATTGGGATGGAAACAACATGGCTGCTTGGAACACAGCAACAGGCAAGAAGCCATACAGCAGCTTATTTCCACACATGCCTGGACCAAGGCTGCTTGCAGGAGGATGGCCTCAGTAGTGCTTTCTGGAGCATGAGATGCAGCCCACAGCCCAGGGGCGCCCGTGTGTCCCAGGTGGGAGAAGGGCAGTAGGAAGGGCTCTGGAGAGGCCCTTGTAGAGACACTGAGAGAGAACCTAGAGCCATGTACACATGCTCACACACATAGGCCGGAAACCCTCAGGATCAGAGAGGCCAAGCGCTGGCCTAAGAGGAGCAGCACTCTGCCCTTCCCAACGCCCTGCAGAGCCCCAGGCCACCAGCGCTCCTTGACTTGGTGCCAGCTCCACCAGGAGTGGCAGTGGTCACACCTACAGCAGGCCTGAGGGGTGCCACCCGCTGTGCGCCTGCTGCTTAGTCAGAAGTCTCACAGTGAGGACTCGGAGTCCGTGTCCAGTGGGCGGAGGTGGGGGCTGTCCCAGGAGCATCTCAGACCCCTGTAAAACAACCCAACCACAGTCCATGTTGCCGAGGTAAACACTGAAGGTCAGCCAGGGTGCTAAGTGGAATGTGTTTTATACCACAATAAAGAAAATTAGAGTAACAAATCCTACCCAGCTACTGGGACTGATGGCCTAGTTCACCTCAGCCTGGCTGATGAAGTCCAAGTACCATGGCTGTGGACTCCGAACAGAGAGGCTCTGAGAGGCTGACCACTCATAGCCCTGCCCAAATGTCACCTCACTGCTGAAACCCGGGGCACCGGCCCACCTGGGGCTACTCCTACACTGGCACAGCCTAATTTTTCTGGCTGATGGTTCTGGCAATCAAGAAGGTAAAACTGTAGATAAGCGAATGACAGGAAATGCTGGCAAGGAATAAGTGCCTTACAGACCCCAGGAGAGCAGAGGAGATCTAAGACACTTCACAACTCCCAGGCTCTCTGACACACACACACACACACACACACACACACACACACACACACACACACACCGGAGGACCCAGCTCCCTCCCCTGCTCCCTCCTCATTCACAGAGCAGAGCACAGCAACAGAGCATCACAGAGACAACCTTGAGCTGGGTGAACACAGGGACAGATGCCCCTGGTACCCGTAGATGCTGCACATCATTAGTCCTGGAGGAAATGCAAATCCAAAGCCACAGTGCACCACACAGCTGCTGGGTTGCTAGAATCTGAGGCATAGGGAAGCCTGAGAGAAGCAGGAAGCTTCTAGCAAGACCCATCCAGAGGGTATAGTGCGGCAAGCCTTTGAAATGCTAAACCTGGACTACTATGTGGCCAGGGAGTCCACTCCCAGGAACATAAGCCCAAAAGAACTGAAACAGTCTACACAAACCTGCATGCCGAAGCTGCCCACAGCACTCTACATTCTTAGAGTTGTTGAAGTTTTAGAATCCTCAGAATCCTGAAGATATTTCTCGTTTGCACCAATCCTCTGTATCTAAATCCAGATATTCCATCAGTTATGGCCCCATCCTCTCTCCCAGGCAATTCAAGCTCACGGAAGCCAACCCTTCAAGGTGGAGAGACACAGGGAGGTGAGCTGCTGCCAAGCACAATGGCTACTCCAGGGCAGTGACTCTATCAGGGTGGAAGGATTTGAAAATCAATCCATTTCTGGGCTGGGAAGGTGGCTCCGTGGTGGAGCACTTGCCTTGCATGCTCGAGGCCCTGGGTTCAATTCCTCAGCAACACATAAGAAAAAAGAAAAAAGCCGGAAGTGGCGCCGCGGCTCAAGTGGTAGAGCGCTAGCCTTGAGCTGAAGAGCTGAGGGACAGTGCCCAGGCCCAGAGTTCAGGCCCCATGACCAGACCCAAAAAAAAAAAAAAAAAAAAAATCAATCCATTTCTAAAATACTCAAAAGCAAAAAATGCCCTTGATCAAAAAATGTCATTTTCACAGGAAACACATTGAGTGGCGACTGGCTTTTAGCACGTCTGCTGGTATGCCCCTAAAAAATAACATTAACACCAGAGGAAGGCAAAAGTGTCAGGACAGCATAAAGACACCATAAAGACTGGAGCCCTGAAGGCAAAGAGGCCAGGAGGGGTGGGGGAGATGAGGCACTCGAACCGCAAGGGAAGGCCACTATGGACAAGGAACCCTAGGCCAAGCGGGCCAATATTTACTTTCAAAATGCACTATCAGACCCTTCCTTTATTCCACAAACAAAACAGACTCCAGATACATTCAGAAGGTAAACTGGAAACTTGAAACCACAAGGAATCAGAAGAAAATATAAAACAATAGCTGCTCTCACGGTAAAAATAGGGACGCAAGTCTTCGGGACGGGGAAGGAGCAAAGAAAGGAACCCAGGGGAAGTGCCCATAATTCTACACTCAACTAAACAACTTGCAGCCAGTATCACGCCAACAGAGAAGGACGGAGCTTTTCCTCTAAGACCTCAGCCACTCACTGCACCACGGGTGTCCTGGTCAGGGCCATCCGTTAGAAAAGGAAATAAAGACATCTGGGCTCAGGCAGAAAAGAAAAGGATCTCTGCTCACAGACAAGACTTTATAAACTTTTGGTTTGTAGTCAGTCATGGGGTTTAAACTGTGGGCCTAGGAGCTGTTCCTCAGCTCTTCAGGTCAAGGCTAGTGCTCTACCACTTGAGCCACAGCGCCACTTCCACAGACATGACAAAAGCCTAAGAATTATATGCACAGAGACAGAAAGAGAGGAAGAGGAGAAAGAAAGAAAAGCAAACTTAAAACATTGTAGCAAGTTGTGGCAAGACACAAATCACACAATTATCAGTGTCTTTTTTTTTTTTTTTGTCCACCATGGGGCTTGAACTCTGTCTGGGCTTGGGCCTGGGCACTATCCCTGTGCTCTTCAGCTTAAAGTGAGTGCTCTACCACTTGAGCCACAGTGTCACTTCTGGTTTTCTGGTGGTTAATTGGAAATAAGAGTCTCACAGACTTTCCTGCCAAGGCTGGCTTTGAACCACAATCCTCAGATCTCAGCCTCCTGAGTAGCCAAGAGTACAGGCGTGAGCCACCAGCGCCTGGCGTCAGTATCATTTTTATATTAACCATAACAATCCAAAAAGGATATTAAGAAAACAATTCCATGAACAATAGTATCATAAACAACAAAACACTTAGGGTCGGGTGTCAGTGGCTCATACCTGTAATTCTAGCTACTCAGGAGTCCAGCCCAAGCAGGGAAGTCTGTGAGATGTATCTCCAATTAACCACCAAAAAGCCAGAAGTGGAATTGTGACTCAAATGAGAGAGCAATAAACTTAAGCAAAAAACAAAACAAAAA